TACACATTGCACATTTCATACGAAGGAAGAAGTGAGGGTAAATGGATTTCAAAGAGTTCGCTGTCACTGTTTTCTGACATTTTAGTAAGGAAACACAATAAGCTGCGTGCACTTCATCTTCTACCTGCTATTCGTAGCCTATTTCCATCTCTCAAAAGGCGTTTAAATTTTTTTATCGCCCAGGAGAGTAGTCCGTATGTGGGCGTGGTATATGAGAGGTCATGCAGGCTTTCAGAGCCAATCTTTTTCTACCCCGAGCGAGTTTTGAATGGCACGGCCGATACAGAATGACTATTTTGGTAGGATACAAAGAAATCACAACGCATATAAAGCCAGTCCAGAAATATTTCATCGTTTTCGTTCGTCCACAGGGTGACAAGTAAGTGGGCGCGGTCTGGTAAGATCGTCATTTTTGGTTGCTCCTTTTAGTTGTTCAGCTATTTTTATTCAGTCCGGAGCCGTCCTTGTGAGTGGGAAAATCGTCACGAGGCTACTTTATGGAGGAATCCAGAAGGAAGAAAAGGATAGAGCATTGGTGTTGATCAATCCCTTTTTGGGATGCGGCACGCATTCTACTTCCATTTCACATTCGTAGTGGCGTTTGAATGCGATGTGGCCTATACAATGACTTGCGGGGGCCAGCCGATGTACAAGTCAGTGTTTTATCCTCCCAGACAAGTCTGGTACCAAACCGACCCCGGAGGGATGGAAGGCTTGGTTGGCCCGGGCGACTCACGACCCAGGATTTGATCCCCGGACCGCTCGCGTGGTGAGCGCGCCACTTGCCACTACACCACTTCCGCCCTGTGTAAGACTTTGGCCACAAAAATTGGGTACAACTTTGATTCCTCTTGTATAAATAGCAAGAGCAGAGGAAAACACGTGGCCACGTCGCACTAAAGACAGAACCCAAAAATGTTGTCCTCGTAAAAAATAAATAAAAGTGTTTTTAGCATTTTTTGCGGTCTCAGTCATCGTTTGAGAAATATTTATACATTGGTAACATATATGCAGACATAACACATTGAGCGTCAAGAGGCGTCATAAATTCTTCAAGAATTGTTCAAAGGAATCGGTAGTTGAACGGAGAGGGGCCTTGAGAAGGAGTTCCTGCTGCGAACAATGGGGCTGGAGGAACGACCTGTTCAGTAATAAGAGGGCCTGGAGATGGATAAAGTTGAGGCTGCGGAGGACTTGGCAACTGAGGGCCACCCTGAGGTGGCTGAGGTGGCTGAGGTGGCTGTGGTGGCTGTGGTGGCTGTGGATGGCTCTTGTGGTTGCCCAGGAATAGGACCACTGGCAGCATTAGGAGGGTAAGGGTAGGGTGCCGGTGCAGCAGATTGTTGAAGTTGTGCTGGAAACCGTTGGATGAAAGGAGCGGATGCGGTTTGTGTAACAGAAACTATATAAGGGCTTTGAGCGAGAAACGGGATGGGAACCACCTGTGGGTAGAGGGCGGATGGCATTCGCATGCGTGTGGCCTGCAGTGAGATAAAATGGCTGCTCAAAAGAAACCTGTGGTTGCTGCGAAAGTGGAGGCGGTGGCGGTGGCAGCGGCTCTGAAGGAGCAGGTGGAGGCGCTGAAGGCGGGTATGGAGGTGGTGGAGCTGGTGCCAAAGGGGCTTCTTGTGTGGGACGTTCGACGACAGGCACTAACCTCTCACGAGGTCCATTTGGCAGTGAGAGAGGTATTGATGAAGGGAATGCCATTTGCTCATTCGGTGGACGAGCTTGAGGTGGAAACGGCTCCGGTGAGAGTATCGTAGGAATGTCCGCTGCTGCCATCGACGAAAGTGCCGCTTGAAGCAATCGAGCGACTTCTGGGCTGAACGATTGCACCGGCCATGCGACCTGTCCGGAACAGGTAACCACGACAGCGAGAAACCACCTAAAAGTGAGAAGATAAGGATAAAAGATTAGAAGCCGATAAAGTTCGTTATGGATGCGCCACGCATCTTACGTTCACTCAAAATATTTGAAGGGACATTGAAATGCGTTTTGGCCCAGACGGTACTTGAGATGGCTTACCGATTTAGAAGGAGGATTAAAAGTAAAACTGCTCATCGGCTTGCCCTAGCAAGTGAGTGCATAGGTCAAAGCGCATTAAACTTCAAAAATTTACGGAAAAAAAGCTCAAAAATCGCTCACCACCCGCCGGTACGCATGACGTGGAGCAAACGCTTTGCCGTTGGCTTTACGGATGTCTCATTTATACCGCTTCCAAAGGCAAACACCGTGGGATCGGTCCAGCCGTCGGGCTTGTCGGAAGTCGTAGGCCGGATTGGGTGGTGTAATGTGTCACTGATTTCACGCCCGCAATTTCTTGCGCCTCTTTCGAGAAAGGCAAACAAATCACATGGTCAACGGAGAGGTGTTTTTCTAGAAGTATCCGAAGCGTGCACTCGGGTTTCTTCTGTGGCGCGCAGACCGAATTTGTTCAGAGCTGGAAGCTCACCGGTGGAAATAGTGGTTACTGTAGATCACTTTTTCTGAGCTGCAGTCGATATCCGACAGTTGGGGTAGACGTGTCACCGGAAATGACGT